AAATTGGATTCAAATTTTTATTAACCAGTCAAATTTAACTCAAATTTTTCAGATGACCTTATGCAGATTTGGAAAAGGTACTAGTATTCGGAAATATTTATGTGCAAATACAATTAAATCCTTAACTAATCCTCTGCGATACAATGCAAGAACTTTGCTTAGGATTAACCTCCATTGTGATCAATGACCAGAAAATGATTGTAGCTTGTCATATTTTAATATGCATTTCGAGACAAACGCAGACAAATGCTAATAGTAATTAGGTTTTTCATGTACAGAATTATATGCATGTAGCCACTGAGATTACAGCGCGTGATTAACTCCTAAATTCTGCAAGACTTAACTTAATAACAACGAGGTAACATAATATTCAAGGATTGACATTAACGATATAATTTATCTTCTCCAACTCGAATCCGTCAATCGTGAAGTCACAAGTTGAATCTGGAGCATATCATGAGCAACAATTTAGTCACGAACTGTTTACGTAAGAATACTATTTCTAAAGAACTTAAGTACATGCATAATTCGAAAATGTGCTCATTTAATGGTGACTCAACGTTTGTAAAAAGTGAATGGCAGTCATCTCTTCATTACACAAATTTTATCATGTACCAACATTCTGCTAATTTTGAAAGTCTCAATTACACCCACTCGTAAATCATGCCAGTCGCAGATGCATGAACCTGATTTATTTTCCGAGTCGTCCATCTCACAATGGAGGTCTCCCAACTTATGCTCACAAATTTTGATCAAAGTAGTGTCAATCGGACACAAAATTTAAGTAATATGAAATTTTGAAAAGACTTCTTTCTACCAATTCTCAGGTTTGGTGGAGATATTTGCGTCCAAAGAGGAGAAAACGGGCCCCGAAGTTTGAAACCTAAAAAATTTTCAATGTTACGCGTGTTTTTCTCGTGCTCGGATGCAAATATCTCCGTCAAACTTGAGCATTTTCAGATCATACCTCTTGCCAATTTCATATTTATCAGATTTGTGATCGATTGACACTAGTTTAGTCAAAATACTTAGGAGAGGATACGCTGCGAGACCTCAATCCTCCGTCAGTCATGCAAACCATGCAATAATCGACAGGAAATCAAAGTATAATCCAAGTTTCTAGGTTATTTCTTTTTCCCCGTGTATGAGGATATGGTTGATTTTTTTCTCATCGATTTTTGCCCATGGCCAAAGAAATAAATCTCATTCTGAGAAAACGACCGATGAGACTGAGACACGCTTTTCGGCCAACTTTTGCACACACCGTGATGACTTGTCCGGGTCGGGTTGGGAGGTTGTTGAGATTGGGAATTTTTGGGAGTATGTAGTCACACCGCACCGACGTGCAAAAGTACATGCAGCACTGAACAGTGAAACCTTGAAGCAAATAATCGGATCAAAGTGAGGATCGATGTTTTGTGGACTGTGCAATAATTCCAAATCGAGTTTCAAAACTCGAAATCTCATAACGTGTAGATAGCCGAGGAAATTATTAGATTTGGATAGCGACTAGATTTCATAATGTCAATTTACTCTGCTCAGTGTACAATGTAGTTCATGAATTATTCAATTTTACACACAGTTTTCCATCCGAAGTTGAAAACTGCATTTGTTCTCAAAAAGTAGGACAGTAGCACAAGTCCAAATCTGGAGTACACGCATAGGCATACACATTTAAGTATCTATATGCTGCCATGCTGCACTCGCATTTATCTCGTATACCCCGATATGCACACTCGTCTTAATCATGCTGTTTATACATTTAATCATATTATTATTCCAACCAACATGCTGAAATAATGATAATCCCGTCATATTCGCGTATCTACTTAAATTCGAACATTAACGAAATCCAGATTTTTCCGTTCCATCCATGCAATGCAACCAAATAACTCTTTCACACTTGCACCGAACTTTTAACTGTGTTTAAAGTCCTAATTTTAGTGCAGCGCAATGTTTCGCATAAATATTTGGGCTGTTCTGCCTGTTCTGTTCTCCGAAATGCGTTTGGTTATGTGTGTCGAACTCGTGCCATGCAGCACAATTTGCACATATAGATTTATAATGGGTGGTAGTTGGTAGTGGTGTAAAAAGTTTGCGATATGCGTTATACAGCCGCACCAAAGCAAACCACACAGACTCTGTATTTACTAATACATTAGGCTTGGGCTGCTTCGAGAGAGCGAAAAGTAGGTCTCGCATTCGATAATAGCTTTTTACTTGGACTTGGACACAGATGGAATCGAGTCTCGTTTACTTTACTGGTTGACTTGGCTCTGTTTTTTGTCTTCCTTACAGCTCGACATCGACTCGACATTCGCTTCACAATGAACTCCATTTGACTTGACACTGCCTGCAGGATTGCATTTCAATTTTGGCAAAGTGAGCAGAATATAGAAAATGGGACAGACAATCGAGAAGAGGTCAGATGCAAATATTAAATGCATACATGTGCATTGATACAATGTACGTAAAACATTATGCACTCAATTACTTCAAAGCTCGTTTGGTGTTGATCTAATCAAAGCGTAATAAAAAATGGTGTACTCATAATTTCAGTCCAAAATGATTTCCAAAATCCAAGAATTATCTTTTACCTGAAAAATTATATTTCGCTGTTACATTTTCACCCTAAATTTAGACCTGGATTGGATCCACGGGTCACCTTTGTCCAATTTGTTACCATCCTGATGCACACCACCTTTTTGCAGATGTATTGTTGTTGTGTATATATTTTTACCATTTCCATTTCCACTTTACCTCTCTAGAAAGAACGCATCGCACACAAATCAGGTTCCAGAGAGGTCATTTTTCACTTATCCCCTCATCTAAGCCCATCATCTTGTTGTTGTTATGTCCATGCATTCTACCATATTTCCGTCATTTCCACTCGTTCTGATGGTGTTACTTTTTCAACGCATGGAAAAATCCCAACCAACCCATTATCCAGCATGTATGCGGCTATATTAGCTTTGGAATAACCTGAACCTAAACAAAGGGTGCGGATGATATCCACATGTACAAAGTAAAGGCAGTTATTATTATCGTGCATCCGAAATCCAACCAAACACCACAAGTTGTAGTCAATAACATGCAGATGGATTTAAAGGCTGGGATGGGATTTAAACACATTTTCCCCAATGTGTCCTATGTAGCTTATGTATATACACACACTTTGTATGCAATGTAACACTTGGATTGGACGTGGCTGCATAGGAAAAGCTGTTCACTCACATTACACACACGAGTTTCGAGAGAAGGCAGGCCTTGAGACCAAAAGTTCTATGTAGTTACCAAGCGTGTTGGTGCTAAACAAAGGCGAAAGAAACAGCTGACTGAGCCCCACACTGAGCAAGTCCCTAAGGGAATCGTCCCAGGTGATTCTCTCGCACGGAGAGAAAAATCATTTTAAAAAATCCCCACTAAATTTACACAGCTTAAAAAGTGTTTAAAACAAAATGAGAATTATCCCCTACAATTCTCGCGTCTTAATTTGGCGAAATCCAAATTCAGAATTTTTACGTCATTGCCCAAGAATAAACCATGTCCATTTATGTATGTACGTCTGGGTCGAACTTAAAGTTTAGCCTTTAGGCCAGTCTTTGTTCATGCCCGATTCGTATTATCATAAGAGACGCACATACATACAAATGTACTTTGGTCGGATGAATAAAATTGCACAAAAAATTGCAAGACCTTCAAACGCGTCTCTTGGGAATCAAGTGCTCGTGTGTATGTAATCACACCTGCATTTTATAATACAACCTGGACAATGGAATAGACGGCTTACTGGAGATAAATAAACGTGCAAAAACGCTGATTTGCTAACTAAAGTTGTGCTGCATTTTTAAAAGGCATGAAGAACGCAGAATAAAAGGATTACAATCTCAGCTATCAACTTTATGCATGCATCTAACCAACCAACGAGTCTGCTTTTACTGCTGCTGCGTCTTATTATTATTATTATTCTTTCTTGTTCAATGTTGTCATGATTAGATTTTGGTTACATCGCATCGCTTGGCTGAATTTTATGTATTATATTATGACTGTGCCATACGTACGCAAAAAGAGCTGTGTGCATATGCATAAAGTAGCAATAAATTGTAATTTAATAATGTTATGGTTTTCGTACTAATGTATCCCTTGCCCTTGTCAAAACCATCAGTCAGTCCAGCCAGTCACATTTTATCACCACCAGTACTACCATTACGACTGCAGGATTAGTTTACTGCTACACATTTTATTTTTATGTGCCGTCATTAGTAAAGCTTCACAAAACCAATAAGTAACCATTACCAAGCTGTGTAGCAGTGAGTGTGAATGTCTATTTATCGAGAGAGAGAGAGAGATGAGACATTCATGAGAAAAGCAACCAAACTCCATAAAAGAACTGCAGGAGAGAGAGATACAAAACCAAGGGGGATTTTATCATTCTGTTGAATTAGAATTTAGCTCAAGGATTGCTCGCACATTTTGTGCAGCATTTCATATCCTAACACAAACCACGGTGATTTTCATAAAATGCGTACAAAATTTTGATAACTCATGCCATCATAATTCTGCTCAAGACCAGTATGCAGTATGTCTAGATGTGCATAACTCTTGGTTTTAAACTTACTTCATAATTTCTACTCTCATCAAAATAGTACAACTACAAGTTTTTGTATTAATATCAATTGTATCTCTGCATAGCTGAAAAGGGTTGAGAATCGCTGTATATATATATCACAAACATGTTGAAGTCTACCCTAGACCAGGCCAACCAACTGGTTTGGCTACATTACTATCCTCTTGTCCCATGTAATCATTACGGTTCTATTGCTTCTCTCTCTCTCTCCCTTCTTATTCAACTTGTGAGAAAAAATGCAATGCTTCGTTTATGGAGAGAACACCCGAAGCATGTCCCTTGTCTCACCACCCATCGACGATGTTGCTTTGCTCGTCCTGCACAAGTCTATACACTTGCCCAGCATATGATGAGACTGGCTCTGCTGCTACGTATTACTTTCCATCAGTTCTTTACCAGTGAGAGTGTGCTTAACTCCACTTCTTCTTCTTCATTCACATGAATAAATTGACGGACGGAGGTGGAATAAAGTCAAGTACAACAAAGTTAACATCACTCCTAACTGTAAAAGGGTTCAGCTTCAGCGTCAAAGTGGGGAGGAGAAGACGAGATTTCTTGAGAAATTCTCAAAATTCTTTCAAAACTAGACCCATTTATGGAACAAGTTGGGAACGAGATAAGATTAACTACGGAATCATTCGATATCATAATTTCACTGCTCGGGATTCCTTAACAGATATTAAGTCAAGCAAGATAAGAGTGTGGTTTTAAAAAATAAATATCTTAAGGGACCGAAACCCTCGACATTTTAAATGTCGGGGTAGTTTGACGACGGAAGAGAGAAAATAATGGGAGGAACAATTATGTTATGAAAAATGTGTGAGTTGGTGGTTGGTGATGTTGTAAAGGGATTATTTCGCAAGGCAAACTGCAACAATATAACACAAGGGACTTGATAAAGTAACAATTGTTAGTTGTTGGAGGTGGTGCATGGTGATGGTGGTGGCATTGCATTGAATTACAGGTGGATGTTTGGTAGCAGCAGCAGCAGAAAGTTAAATAAGCAATGTTCAAGTTGGAGGAGGAGTGGATGGTGGACTCATTCTTCATGAACTGAATTGTTGTTGCAGTTGCAATTATAAAATCGAAAAGTGCAACAACTCTGAAGGCGATAGGAGGAGGATTGGAAAGTTGTCAAAATTATTTAGCTATGAAATTTAGGAAGAAATGCGACCCAACGAGTGAAGAAGTTGACGAGAAATTGTATGAATGACGACATTTAGAAGATAATATACAGATGTCTGGCTGAAATGGGGTTGCTTCGTGGTGAATAAAGGCGAAGAATGCTTCTTATTGGGGATCAGTTGGATGGATATGTGGTGAGGAGGATATTGCAGTAGAGGAAAAAACAGGTAAGGAAGAAGGCGCTTGGGATAATGGGGGAAAAAATGATAAGTTGATTTACTAAAATATTTATGCATCTCCTGTTGGAAAATCTGGACGTGTTCAATATTTGTCAAAATATTAGTGGTCAAAATCATCATGTTATTACAGAAATGTTGCATGGTTTACTACACAGAGAAAGTTTGGGCATGCATAACTAACTATCGTCAAGTGGTGTCAAAAACACTGCATTTATCTCCCCCACGCTATGCATACGTATCGCACTGACTGATGAACGGACGAATTAAAAGTTTATTGCTCCAAAATAAATTAATTCTAATCTTAGACGGGGCTAATTTTCCTACTCGACCTCATACTTAAAGTCATAATATGTTGTTTACTGTTTACGAATATTCGTTTCATTCACCTCACGATTGAACTAGTGCAATTTTGCGAACGTATTACGTAGTAAATATTTGTTCTCTTGGGTGACGTGGGGTTTCTGCAAAATTTCAGCATTACTGTCAGATTCAACCTCTTAGTTAAAACTTGACTTTGAAGATTGGAGGAGCATTATTCCCTTAAGGGAATTCATTCACCGCTTGGTTGGCATGCACCGTCTTTCTTCTTCTTGACGACGACTCCTCTGTGCAGTTCACTACCTGTCATGTGTAATTGACTTCCGATAACTGCACCTACCTACTTTTCTGCATAGTGATTAATTCCAAAAAGAGCTCATCAACCAACATCTGTCTTCTCGCTTGTGTTTCATCGCCACACAATTACTTATTATTCATCAACTCCTCATCTTGAAAATCCCATCGCTTGGTTTCATTTCATAAAGCTTGTGCATGCATGGCATTCAAGCCATTCTTTGTGTAGGATTCATTCCGTAGTTGCTAGGCAGATCAGTGTTCATCATCAGTTCAGTTCAGGACTCTCTCTCCATCGTCGTCGTAGATAGAGGGTGGAAATAGTACATACATAGAATGTTGGCTATGGTTTGAAGTTGGTCCTTACGTCATTCTCTGCTCTCCTCTCTTCTCCCAGGCAGCAGTCGTAAGTTTAGCCTGCTAGTTGCACAGATAGGCCCAATAGACGACCAAGTCATAACGGGTATAACGTTCTACCCGTGGAGGTAAAGTTGAGCCACTTATATGTATAAAAGGCTAAACTTTCTTCCTTAGTATCCATCCAGCTTGGCCCAAACTTGTTGGGTAAAGCAAAGCAAAGTTGGTAAAATAACCCTTTTTCTATGCCTACTCCGTTGCCTTATTCCTCCTCCTTTCGTCGAGCCCTGGTCAATAATGGTCAATAAACTGTCTGCACGAACGTTGTTCTCTCTCAGTAATTACCTAAACCGCAGAGCAGCAGCGGTATAGGAAACTCTCCGTTGTTTGTTGTCCTGCATATGAGCTGCTCCTGCAAAGCTTTATTATTCCGGAGAAAATTGTATAACCAAAGTCACGGGGTTGGCGGATGTGTCTGAAATCAAATATGTATATGCAATAATGGGATTGTTCGAAATGGAACGCTACTTGTCAATTTCCTCGTGATGGCGATGACCTAAGTCGACCAATTTCCTTGCGTATATGGTCAGTCCAATGTGCATGAAAGTTGAATGTGGAAAGGGCGTGACGAAATCATGGAGAAAGTTGAGATAGGTTTAATATCTCTCCTCATTCCATGCGAGAAATTTAATCCGAAAGTAAACTCAAACGCCGCTTTGTTCGAGTTTGGGAAGAGATTATGTACAGAGAGGTGATGGGAGTGGCAGTGGTGTTATCGTCACCGTGTCGACAAAGCGTATCAGGAGACGTTTCCTCCGTGAAGCATAATTTTCATGTACACGTCCTTTTCCTTCTTTGTGATGTAAGTGGAATAAGACAGAATGTTGGGAAATTGTGACTCATGATTTGGTGGAATGACTCGACTTGAACTTTACCTTGTTGTTATGCGTATTGTTCCATTGGCAGGAGAGTGGATGGTGGTGTAATTTTGGGTAGTTGGCAGGCATTTAAGCGCAAGGATGTACATTTATGTACTTCGCATCTGAATACATACACACGTACATTCATACGTATTTATGCATCCATCCGACTCCGTTTCTCAAGTTTTGTTGTCTTCAAAATTTCAGTTAAACCAAAGAACGAAGGCAGGAAACAATCAGAAGAAGAGAGAAACACACGTCGTCACATTTGCTTGTTCAGCATGAAATGAAACATCCACCAGATTCAATAACAGACCAGGCAGAAGAAGAAGACAAAAAATTCAACACGCCAATTTCTTTGAAATTCTTACATTCAATTTTTTTGTGGCAATTAGCAATTCAAATTATTATCCAGTCATAGGCAGAGAAAGACACAAAGAAGTCAAAGAAGAAGACGACGACGAGGAGGAATAGTAGCAGATAAGCCAAAACGAAAATGAATCTTTGACCCAGTTCCAGTTGGATCTCGAGTTTGCTCATCGCCTGGATGAGTGAGTGAACTCGTCTTTCTGAGATTCGACTGCTCTTCGTCACCAATTAATTAAGCAACAAAATTTTAAGTTTTTGTCAAACAAATCAATACAAAAAGTTGAGGGAACTTTTATTTTGCAAGAGATCCTAACAAGGGAGTAAAAATTCGTCAAAATTAAGCGAACATTTGAAAAAGGCGTTGATGACGGGTTGAATTCCGGAGTGACGTCAACAAAGAAGGTGAGTTTTTTTCCTAAATTTTATACACGTTTGAAAATAATAATACGTATGTAGCTGTGATGAAAATACGTCTTATTTCATGCGACGCATTATTATTGAGGTTTCAATTTCATGGTGGATAAACAGTAGCGAGCAAGCAACAGTAAACTCATGTGTGTGTGAGTGAGTGTTGATAAGCTGGGTAGATTTCGTTTGTGAGTTGGCCAACGTACTTATATTCAGAGATCACAATATAATTGACAGATAACAGCATATCCTACACTGCAGTACGTACTTTACGAGTTGCGTTGCATGCAAAACTTTGACAACAATTTCGTTTCGTCGAGTCAGGCCATATATCACATCATTTATGCGAAGATTAGGATTTTCATGTGTCAAAAAAAATTGTATTCCAATTCAATCTCGTATGGAAATTGGGACAAAGTTTTCGTCACAACTAATTTATATGCATTTGCTGGTGGTTGCATACTACACATTTTACATACGCACACTCTAAGCAAATATTACAATGCATATGAAACTCCTGCTTATCAGGTTTACAGCCCAGCACTGGAATTCTCTCAAAATCCATCCATATGTATACTGCACTTATCAAGCTTTAAACTTATCAGCATTTTTCAATGCCATCTCGCATGCAGTCTCATTGCTCAAGTGAATTGTTATTATTATCTTCTTCTCCACATGAAAGCTGTGGATTTCTCGACGCTTGTACAAGAAAATATTATAAATCAGGGGGAAATGTTGCTAGTAGAGTAGACGAGGTTTCTCCTAACAATCCCATTAACGAGGGTACTCTGGCACTTTAAAAATAAGAAACTTCAGGATTATTAGTCTTAGATAATTGCATTTTAAGAGCTCAAGTGAGAAGTGCAAGTGGTGTTCCCGAAATAAATATCGTTCATATTTATCACACATAGGATGCACTGGACAGGATATTATTTATTATTACTTGGATTTGTTACAATCTACTGTGAAGAACAATAGAAATAATGCAATTTAATTTTATCATGTCATTATAACCTTCCAAGTCAAAACATTAAGTATTGTGCAATTTTAATTTGGCCATGAACTGAGCAAAAAAGGAGCCCATACTATTATTTCGTGTTCTCAAGAAAATGTCCACTCCAAGTCGTACTGCCAGCAGTGGTGGTAGCATCAGTGGTAGTGTGGTTCCCTTGAAACGGTTAAAAATTGATGAAAATGCGACTGACAAGGATATTTTGACGGTTCTTAAGATGCATTCTTCCGTGGACGTGGAGCCCGACCCGCAGGAGGTGGAAGTGGAGCTGGGGCTACTGATCGTTGAGGGGAGAAAGCCGACAACATCGTCACCTAAAGGATTCGAGGAAGGACCACACATGTAATTCCTTTAAAATTAGTAGAAATTATCATCTGAACGGTCGGTCTCAGTTTGATCCGTATCAATCTCAAAATTTGATGGTACATATGATTGGATTCAATGCACTTACTGAGATAAACCTGACAAGTCTTTGCTTACGATTTATTGCAAACAATGAAATTTATTACCACCATTTTTTCCTTAGACATCTGCAAAAAGGGCCCCGAAACCACGTCTGCAATGCTCAAAACCATTTGGTAAGAAACCCCACATAACAAAAATACTAAGACAGTAATAAATACGATATGTAATATGTAAATTGTGCTGTGAGGATATAATAGGAAAAGTGAAAGGATAAGGGCTCACTTGTAGTATTTGGAGGGGTCCGGATTAGGCCTTTTTTGTCAACGTTTCGACCTCAAAGGGTCTTCTTCAGGACGACGAAGAGGATTGCTTCACATGGTGGTTTGTGGGTGAACCACCATGTGAAGCAATCCTCTTCGTCGTCCTGAAGAAGACCCTTTGAGGTCGAAACGTTGACAAAAAAGGCCTAATCCGGACCCCTCCAAATACTACAAGTGAGCCCTTATCCTTTCACTTTTCCTAATAAATACGATATGTACAAATATAATTAATGAGATCCTGCTCTTTTTTCTATGTAGTGCGCCCGTGAAGCCTCATTCCGGAAACATGTCCAAGTCCTATGGAGCAATAATGTCCCCTTGTGCATAGAAGTCCTACTCTGTTCGGACTGTCCTTGTGGCAAGGAGAAAGCCACCTCTCCTGAAGTGTCTCCCCTCGTAGATCCGGCCTACACCTTGTTGGAGCAGTGGACCCTCACTTCCTATCCGAAGAGAGTGGGCGGTGGCAGCGGTGGCATTGGTGGCGAAATCGATGCTGGCGGGGATGCCGTCACGGCGGGCCGTGGCGTTACAAATGGACGCGGTATCCTACACGCTGTGCGATCCTTTCTCCACTTTTCTCAGCTCTCCGCTTGGCTCGCACTGTCCAAGGGAGAAAGTCCGAAGAACATTATGTACAGGGTCACCATCCCTGGCGAGAATTTTGTCTCAAAGTTTGTCCAAACTCCGGAAGATCATGAGGTGAGAATTTTTATTTCCTAATATATTTTTAATTTAAGAAGTTTCCTACAAAACAAAACTAACTTGATTGATTTATTCTTTTTGATCATAGTTTCCTACAGTGCAGTTCAAAAAATATGTGATGAAGGTGAGCAGGACGTAGTAATATCGTGCATGTAGCATTTACTAATATGGTCATGATTTGTCTGGACCAGGTATCTGTGAAATCGCTCCCCAGATTGGGGTCCGTACCTATGTCCTCATGTACCAGCTTGATGTGTACGACTACTCGGAGTCAAGTTAAGCGAAGTCAGAGTCCCCCCGTCGGGGAAATCATTCGGGGCGGAGAAAGTCCACGTCCACGTCCGTACGCACCGGGCAGATTCTTAATTCCCACGCCAGCCAGGTTGGCGATGGCCACCATGTATTCTTCGGGACGATGCGTCGTTCGACACAGCGGCATTGCTCCGGTCGCTGGGAATAATAGAGTAAAGCAGAGACAGCTTAGAAAGGTATGTACATACACAAAATATCCCATATTTAAAGCTTAATGCAATAATATTCCGTGCAAAAATTAATATTGCAACTTTCTTTCGCATCAGGAGCAACGTAACGAACGGTTGTTGGAGTATATGCATTCACTTCACGGAAATAGTGGTTCCTCATTAGATCAAAGTCAGGAAGGTCCTTCGTCCTCCGGAGACCAGCAAGAAGGCAACGATCATGATTCTGATTATCTCACGGATCAAGAATCCGGATCGGAATCACCTCAACCTGGAAAATATCAACCGGATGTATCAACGCAAGAAGGTGATCAACTAGAAGTAGGAGATTGGATCAGTAAGCAGCAGCAGCCCATAATTTCCCTGTCATCATCATCATCATCATCGTCGCCATCATCATCATCTGCGATTTCTATTCCGAGAACAAGGCCAATTCCAACGCTGAGTGAGAAGATCGATTTCCTCAAATCTCTGGATACTGCAGCTACACGACTTTTCCATCGGAACACTGGGCTTCCTCTCACATCCAGCCCGGCCCCGTTGCGAAAAGGCCAAGATCGATTTGACTTTGACTCATCGCTCGTTTCGAATTCAAGGATTATTTCCAGATTTAGGAGAGGTTGCCATCCACCAAGGTATTGGTCACTCGCTACCTTCCAATTCTGTTAAAACAAGTAGAATTTACCCTTTTCAAATTTATTATGCAGATTTTCCGAGGCGACTCGATCATTGTTGGGGTCCTTTGAGGAATCAGTATTGAATGGAAGGATTGAGCCTGTGTAAGTACTAATCTTTGATATTTTGGCAGACTGTATTTTTACTAAATGCTAATGTTAATTTATGCTTCTTAAAAAAACAGGTCAACCGTGCAAGGATTCACCGCAGAGATCGGAGCATCCGGCTCATTTTGTCCTAGACACGTTCATCTTCCAGTTACAGTTTTTTTCTACACATTCTGCGACAACGACAAAATCTCAACTCCGTATTTGGTGCGAAAATAACTCCTTATTTAAGGAATTCTTCGTTCATGCGCCAAAATTTTAATGAATGGTTCAATTTTGATAATAGGCACACGTTGACCTGGGAGATCAAGGGTACTGCGTGCCAAGGAAGGGGACCGTACAAGTTACTCTGTTCAACCCTCTTCGAACTGTGATCAAAATGTTTGTTGTACAATTCAATGTAAGTGAATAAGCTCTTATTAAACGTCTCATGATTTACGATTCATTATGGTTCAACTGTTTTATTTTTTATTTTACAGTTAGAGTCACTTCCAAATAATTCGCAAACATTTCTTCGACAACGGACCTATTTTATGCCACTTGGTAAATAATACAACTCAAATATAAAGCCAAAGAATAGTGTATTTATATTTGAATGCATTTATGTTTAGGGGAATCGGATTCTCATCCCAGTGCGCAAAAATGGCTCCGGTAATTGAATTATTTTACGGCTCATTGAATTATTTTACGAATCATGCATTATGCACAGAGACTAATTTTTTTTATTTCAATCAACAGCTACCTCATCCATCTCAGATTCGCATCGAATCAATCTGGACAAATTTTTCTGCACACGGATATTCGCATGGTTAGCTTTAATTTAGTGTCACAGCTCATTTTTTAAACACCAAACTAATTAAATTGTCCAACAATTTACAGGTTATTTTCCGAAAAACCGACGCAGACACGGCCACTGGATTTGACGTCGTCCAGACTCCGCATGAACTTCGATCATTCACTTATGCTCCACATAATCCGAAATTCAGCCCTCGATTTAATCAAGCTACAAACACAATTACTACTTCCACCCTGGACACCACAGTCCCAGGATATTATGCTAATCAGGACAAATCTCCAAAAGAGATGCGCAAATTTATCCCAAAGAAAATTATTTTCAAAAACGGAAATACCAAATTTCCTCCTCGGAATCACCATCATCATAATAATAATAATAATATCGACCAATCAGAAGAACAACAGGTTGACGCTAATCGCCACGAGCAGCATGATCAAGACGACGACGAATGCGGAGAACAAGAATACGAGTACGACTTTGAGCCGTGTAAAAATCATTCGGAAATCGAAATCATTGTATAATATCAATATCTCATCGAACCTAGCATTTCAGGAAATACAAAAAATACAAAATGTTCAGATCCAAACTGTGTAAAAATAGTCAGTCGGTTAAGGTGAAGAATAATAAGGTCTAAAATCATACAGCAGGGAAAGGCCACCAACAAAAACTGTAAATACAAATGACCTTTAATTCCCCTTAACTTACCTCTACACAACTATTAGATTATTCTAAATACCTTTTTATTTAAGATGGAGGACAACTCAGTTGAAATTCTTGTTTTTTTTATTGTTACGTACATACACAGGTAGAGAAATATTTTAGAATGTCGCAAATTCATGTCTCGCAAAAAACGAAAAAAGTATAGCCTACTGGGTAGGCATCGTAAATACATATGATACATATAAAATATTATGCATTTAGACAGTAAATACAAATTTCAGGTTATAATGTAAAGTGCAGTCGTGTAGTACGAAGAAAAGAAGAAAAAAAGCATAAGAAGAGCGTTATGCTGCTGTAAAAAAAGAGTTGAATAAGCGTGCGAAAAAAAGTAGTCTGTGTTATATTATGACAGTTTCAAAAAAAGAAACATATTATGATAATGATTATTCAAAATTATGATGAACCATCACACAAGTTAATAATAATAATGTATGTACAAGTCTCCAACTACAAAAAGCAAACAATGGCAAAAAACTGTGAGTAAATATTGTCTAAAAAATAGTTGCAAACGTCTAGAGAACAAAATAGTTATGAGAAATGTAAATTATTTTAGAAATTCACACCCAATCACCACCCACGTGTACCTAAATCCAACTAATCGTATATTACCTACCTAATCATGTCATCAGAATAAGTTATCATTTAACTTAGTACCATTTGGTTCGTCGTCGTCATTTTCAGTCTAAACAAAAATATAGGATTCATATATATTTTACGGGGCGAAATATTAAGATAAAAGTTGGCAATATTTTTGAGAAAAAAAAACATATACCAAAATTCCGACCAATTATTTATACCTATTATTTTTATGATTGTATGTATATATTTTGTGCTATTTTACGTTGAATAATCGCGACAATTTTACTTACCCTGTGTTGAGGGAGGAGAGATAACAAACATTATTTGACTTGTAGATACATAGATAAAGACGATCGTTGAGTAATAGCGTGTTAAATATTATAATGCAATTTGACGAGAAAATTTGTTAGAATTTAAAAAAAGATACGGATTCCCGCAGCAGAAGAGAAAGTTTCGAGTGCGCACTTATCATCGCAACCTTATATGTATCACGTCATCGCTGATTAATAATAAAAAAACGTATGAAATGATTGATTTCATGAAAAAAATCCACGTGATGATATCAACAACTCGGAAATAATAATGAGAATTATTGTTAAAATGTACCATACCTTTCCTCTCCTAGAGAAAGTGAAATCAATAAAAGCATGCTGAAAAATAATAACGCACCGTTTCGGAAATCACATTTTTATTAAACGTTTCTAACAAATTTGTACCGAGCGGATAACATCATCATCATACATATTTATCATTGCAAACTTTAATCATCAGGATAGCGTAACAATGCAATATAATTTGTTTGTTATGCAAAACACATTGCATCGAACGCACATACATACACCGCATAGCCTTCCCGTTTTATAATAACTCGTACTTATCAGATACCACCGTCTCTTATTAAAACTACTGTTTAACTTTGCTTAAATTTTGTTAGTGTGAAAAGTGTTGGTAGCAGATACATAATAATTTAGTAACAAAGCCTTACTTATATTACTTAAAATCTAGTAGTGGCAGATTCCAACGTACACAAAAGTTTACAATACGTACATAAAGCTACGATATCCACCTTCTTTATAAGCCATCCGTTTTTTACGTCAAACATTTTTTCATACATACCATTTTTCTCGCTCTCACTCTACAAATTAATTATCTTTAATATAAAACTTTAAAAACTTTAACCATTCTTAACAATATCACAAACAAGCGTTGGTGTCAAATGAAAAGCTTTGTAAAGTTTTTTTCTGTATAAATATGTTACGTATGACATATAATAGACGAGTCCTGCTTGAATAAAGTTTCCATATTTTTTTTTATTTACACATACGGTTACGTAATAATTGAATTAGATTGCATATAAATTATTTTGTTTTACAATAGAAAAAAGGAACACACGTTTGCTGTATGTATATTATTGTGTAGTTATTTCTGATAGCACGTCTGACATACTTATTTAGTAATAGATTGATTAATTGTGGTAATATTTTCTTACTTTTTCTATTTTTTCTGTTATTCTATTATGCTAATTTGTGAGTTTCGTAAAATTTTTAAGTACCATTTAAACTATTTTATTTATATGTAAGTACCTAATATTTTGTATGACAATAATAATGTGAAAACACCAGCACATATCACTCTCAGTCATTCTCGTATTTTTTTTGTAAAAGAGATTTTTTCTGTATGTATTTATATAAATTGGGTGAAAGTTTGTTTCACGTAGGTCTGCTTTCACTCACTAATTTTTTCTCCTGAACAATGGCAAATCATGACTTTCTTTCTGAAGAAATCGGGACGTGCGATATAAATAACTCTGCAACTGGTTGTATGTATGTCATAACAAGAAAGAAATTATTTGGTCCAATATATTTTAACAGAAACCTTTTCTTTGTATTGGAGAAAGCAGGTACGACTATTTGAAGTGAAAATGGACGATATTTGTATCCTTAATTTGGAGAAAGTAACATTTTTTTCTCTTCTTCTCATCCAAACCTGATTTCAAGAAATGCAAAAAGTGTGTGTACAATATTTTTTGAAAAGTTTTGAAATTGAATTACACATAATAGATAATTAATTAATAGCACCAGTTAATGGCAGAAATCCTTAATAGTTTTTATCCATAATTATTATTCTTGATCAACGTATTCCATTCTGTTTTGTAGTATTCCTAGGATGAAATTTATAGACTTATGTAGCAGAAGAGACATAATAGGCACAGCTACTTCAATTCCAGACAACTCGACTTTCTCCATGCTCCTCTTTCTCCAGAACGTACATCAACGGAAGTCGACCTAAATCCAAGAAAAAAAATACCAAACGACCAGATTTGCTTTGTTCATCATTTTTTGTTTTGTGAATTTTGGAACAAAAATGTGTGCAAATGATAAGATGTGAACATGATGTCAATGCCAGAGGGCGGATATGTATTTACGAAAAATTGCTGAAATATGCACTTAAAATTTACAAAAAAACACGCTAAAATATTGACGAAATGTGTAAAAAAAAATCATCAAATTTTGTTTTTCATACCCTGTATTTTTTATCGAATTTATTTTAGCACAAAAATTTCGTCGCATAAAATTTGACTATTTGTGATCATGAAATGAAAAAGTTGGGAATAAATGCATAGCCGCCCTCTGGCCAAAGCGAAATAAAAAAGTTCATGCAAAATGATAACAAAAAAATCTACAGGTTCACAACATTTTTGGAATTTATTTCAAAATCCTCTATTTAAAATAATATTAATTAATGCTTACTCTAGTTAAAGGATTGATTTATTAAGCCACAAACAGGACGGTGACAATATAACAGAGAACGCATCAACTATTTTTTTACCACTACAACAACATTCTTGCAAACTACTGATACAAACTAAAAACTTTGGTATTTTAGATATGTCTACGCAATAATATTTACAATTGACGACGACGTGAATGAGTGTAACTAACTTATAAAATGTAATTAACGAGCAAAATTAAATATTTTCTTTCCATTCGGTATTTTCTACAAGTTTACAACTTTAATAAAAATGATTAGATTAGATTGTTATGCAACGTTGTCACCTAATAATCACTCGATCACTTTGTTTCATTCATATATTTATGTACGTAACAATTATTATTATGCTTATTTTTATTATGGGTTGATAAGTTACTTATCAAAATCTTTCCAGTTTCTTATATAAATCATGTAGCTCATTTTCTCACTGTATAATTAATAAAATGATGATGATGATGGTGATGGTGTTGTTTCTTTGTCTATGTATGTATTTATGTGAGGTATTAATAGCCTACCCAATAATTTTTGCAGACTGAATTATTTAAACGCTTAATATCATACTAAAAACATGGTCATTATTATTAAGGTACTTGATCACTTATAAAGTTTCCGATTGTTATTATGCTGTGCGGTCGGTTACATTTGTAAAAAATAAAGAAATGTACAATCAATATTTCACTCGAATCCTAATAAACAGGCACTTTTTCTGGTAGTGCTTTACAATATAATATTTAACTATTTATCAGCTATAAAATAAATCCAACACCATAAGAAGAGAACTCTTTTACCTACTTTATATAACCCATTGAGTATCCTAACTAACTAACTAATGCAGTTTTTCAAAAGATATAAGCATTTCTTTTTTCCACTGCTCTAGAAAAAAATGTGATTGTTTTTTAAATTTAGTAAAAAAAATTTCAAATGCTATATTTTTGTATTTTAGTTATATAGAAAAACAGTTCTAATGCTTTCACTCGTATCAAAAAAAAGATGCTGAATTTGTTTTAAACCTTCATTCCATTGCAAGATATAGATAAATGATTAAATTCTATGAGAAATTAAGTGAGATACGTAACCAAAAATAGCGGAGAAAATCCATCATCTTTAAAAAGTATAGTAGTAACAGTACTACATGTGTGGGTGGGTATTCATTGGTGCACATGCTGAACCAAAAAAGTTTTAAATTTTGCAATTTTTTTTGTCTTCGTAGGTAAATCCAATTCCTTGTCCGATTTTGGTGAAAAATGATGAGATGAGATGAATCTTGATAATTAGGTCACAACACGTAAAAACTTGATAACTTGAAGGGGCAGGAACACACGAAGAGAAGGAGAATCCAGAGAGAAACATAAAAATGGTAAAAATAGAAAAAAATAAAAATAAATCAAAGCGTTCCATAAAGTCTGACATACATAACCAACCAATCAATTTCATAGACTTTACTTACAATAAAATGCAAAATAAAAGCTGATTGAAAGCTCAAAATGCAATTTGACGAAAAAATATTTCGAAGCATTTTTACATATGTATCGAATTGAAAGCATTTGCAAAGCATTACATAATTACGAATAGTGTGATAATAATGTTGTACTTTAAAACACCGGCGTTGGTGATATGTAATTATTATATATTATGTATTATGGAATGGTAATGACAAATGAATAAAATGAGAGGATAATCTTGATGACGATTACCTTCTAAAAACTTACGAATCATTATGTGTCCACAGCGAATAATTCTTTGTGCAATGCTGGGAACTCTAAGTGTGGGGACATTCGCTTTAATCTTCCTAAAGCTTCTAAATGTAGAAGTCCCAATTCCCTGTGAGCAAAAAGAAGGATAACGTTACCAATGCTCTAATAAATAATGGACATAGAGTTTGTTTTTGGCAATATATTTCACCTTAGCTGAGGTACACGTGCTAACAAGGCGTCCACCACGGTCACATCGCCTTTGATGGGATGACGATGTGTTTTTGCAGATTCATAGCGAAGGCTTCTGAGCACTGCACCGTTAAGCCGACTGATTTCCCCCGTTCCTTTTAGGCCTGGTCGGTCTGGAATAGCACAAGGAAGCACATCACACATAGCAGCGCACCCAGGCACCATTTCGAAACCAGCATCATCGCCATGTCGTCGCATATTACCGGGCGAGAGGAGTACGAAGGCAGAATAGAGGGCGAGCATTTGATCCGTCAATTTGAGTTCTGCAACTGCTCGAACCACGTCAAAAATGGAGGAGACGAGCTTCATCTCGGTGGTATCTGCCGTGAGGAAGGCTTCTGGAGGCAATAACGTTTCTCCAAACAGGACGGAGTTGGTCGTCTGCAAAGGGGAATTTACCATGTCAAATTGAATTTGCATATTTTACTCTAGTGCATTGTTTAATTGTCATACCGGGTCAAAATGCCGCGTAATGCGAAGAACGACCAGCTCGAAAGCACCTGCCTTCAATAGAACAATCTGATCGTCTTGGGGCAACTTCTGCAATAGGTAAAAAAATTCAAAACGAATTAATTGAATCCTTGTAAATAATGTAATACTTAAAAAAACGTATGTACCATAAAGCCGGGCACCATCTTTGCAAACTCGATTATTTGTTGGACCACAGCAGTGAGCCTCGTAGCTGCTTCAAGCCATAGGTCCTCATGGCTTAGATCTTTGTAGTATAACACCTTTGAAATGTCCTGGGGACGGCGGAGCATCTCTGACACTTGATCTGTTCGTTCAAGAAAATACAATGAGTTAACCTCCAATATAAATTTATCACATTACTTGACTTACCATTGGAATAGAGGCATCTGGAAACAAATCGGTTAATCATTATTAGTAAAAATTTCTCATTATAAATAGATAATTAAAGTGTTTTATTGGTATAATAAATGTTTCTCATACGTTCTCGTGTGGGCATCGGTAATGGTTCTGGCTAGGAGTTCCGAGATCTGTACAGAATCTGCTGGGATGGATGCGCTGGGTAGCGTCGAGGTGTTAATGAGGGGCATATTCTGTGAGTCGGGGAGTTCGGTAGAGTTGGACCGTGGCTCAAAACAGGTCCCACTACTTGTCGTAGAATCGACAAAAGGAGACTGCAAAATTGAGACAAATCCAATATTTACCACATTGCCACATTATACTTATTTATTTATGTATGTATATACTGGCTGCAAAATTAATGTCCTTACCGTGTCTCCCATGTCGTAGCCTCCTAGGCCGCTTCCACTGCTTGCCCATCCATTCGGGGTATAACTGTAATACCAAAGCAAAATAGATTTTAGAGAAAATTTCATGACGGAGAATTCCCTTATTCATAATTGGCAAGATTATAAACTGTCAAAATTGGCAGAATAAAAATTAAATAACTCATCATTTAAGTTATTATTAAAGATCTAATGGTGTGATAGGATTGTCTCTCCCAATATGAAGTGATATGCGAGTAAGTAGTCGCTGAAATTCTGGCGAAATGTGGAAGTGAGTAATTGAATTATGTACGTCTTCCGCAATTCCACCACCGCCTAATCTTTAATGGTCAGTCAGCATCAGCCAACTAACTTTCTCTTCATTCATCACCAACTCTGTTGGATATTACTCACTCAGGCAGTACGCAAATACGTAAGTACTCGCCAAATAATAAGTAACAAGTTTCAACAAATTGAATTACAGATTGCTGCTTAGTAAATAGACTAGTTTTGATTACTGCGGAAAAAAACGTGGCAAATATATTTATGCATTTTTTATACCATTCAATCCCTCAATTTACATTTTGTTTTGTTCGCACGTGAAACTTTTTTGACAATCAATTAGCAGTAAATTAAATATATGTAAGCTTTTGATTCATGATCAATTTTGACAATTTTTTCAATGAGACATTCAACTATACTTACTCGCTGTAAGGGTTGTACGTTGTGGGGTGAGGGTTGTAGGGTAGATTTTGATCGGAGGAGGAAGGAATGGAGTGGTCGAATCCGGACTGAAATTAGAATTTTTTTTGTAAATTTTCATCCCATACTAAATAATGTTATTTAATTACCGAGTCGGGCGCTGCCTCCACACTGCCGGGCGCCACCTTCATCTGCGCCCTGTGGTATCGAACCTCATCCTCCACTTTCTCCCGCTGCTTCTTCGACATCCGTCCAAACTTTACGGCTGCAAAATGGCAAAAAAGAAAATCGTTGTCAATAATTATCTAATAATAAATACCAATCAAGTTTTTTTGACCCCACAAAGAAGAAGCCACGACTGCATACATATTATGAAACCAATAAGTTATTGTTATACAGAATGCACCTGCACTCCCATTCATCAACCCATGAATAAAATAAACCCCTCTTTTCCGTATGCATTCAATATATTCTTCTGGGGATGATGATGATGCCACCACCACCACTCATGCAATTTATGGACAAAGCCAGCACATTTTTTCACCACATACACACTGCATATGCACAAATTGGCTGAATCCAGACCAATGCATCAACCTGACGACGCGCTTAAAGTGCATTGCAATTCCATCACTGTGTACTTAACCATATTAACTTTTGCGAATCCTGCTGCAAACATTCAGTGTTCGGGGTCTTTAATAATAGTGTCGGCGGAACACATTGGTGGGTGTGAGACAAAGTTGCGTTGTTGGAACGTATGCATGCATTTAGAACTTTTTGTTAGCGTGGTGCGGTGCGGTAGTTGAGGAGTTGGTTGGTTTGGTTGAGAAGAGGGGGAGGTTAAAGACCTGCGATGCGGAAGCAGTATAAAGCGTGGATCGATGGACCACCACCACCACCACCAACGTTACCAGTACCACCACCGCCTCCCAGAAGGAAACTGGGTCAACTCAACAGCTGACTTGATACTATTTGGACCACTCTTAAAAAGCATGCGAACTCGGTCCGAAAAATACTACCCGGCTCTCTTTTTCTCGCTGAAGGAATTTTTCAGCCATGGTGCTCAGATTTCTATTTCTAAGGCCGATTAAATGATTGAGAAAGTAGAGCTAACTTTTACGTAACAAAATATTTGCGTGGACAAGTTCGGATGGAAAGTCTGGCGATTAAATTAAAATGGTGTGGCAGGTTTTTTTTCTCCTACCCGGAAAAGTTGCACTTATTTTTTTTCCATTAGAGTCGTCATCCATAACGAACTTACTCCTCCTGAGGACTCGTAGTAGTATGTAGTAAATAAATACTTGTGTCCACTCAATCACCCCGTTATACTTTCACCCCGGAGTGAAGCTACTCACTCCTCGTGCATGCTCTTTGAGTACCACTCTCATCAATCACATGCTTCATTTAACTTTGTCAACTAGAACAAATAATCGGATTTCTCTGATTGCAAGTAAATAAGGGGGCTCACTGCAAATATACCAACAGATAGACATTATCCTGACAGGAGACACTCACAAAATCACTGTTTCATATGTACATAAATGACAACGAACCCAAAATGCCACTCCCATTCTGTAGATAAATACATACAAGCAGAATTTTCAAAAAATGCAGAATTTAATTTTGTCCCAATTTATATAATACAAGTTTTGAATTTTCTGATTAAACTATTCATCCAGGTTTAACATACATAACTCATTTTTTTTAGTTTCCTCCAGCAAAAAAAAACTTTAATAAAAAAGAGAGAAAATTGGGAAAGTAGGTCAAAAGTCATTCTTTCTCTCGTACTACATACGTAAATCGGAGTATAATAAAGGTAGAAATTCCAGGACCGCCTGCACGACCAATTTCTGAATGCGATGCAAATTGCTTTGTGACACTTTGTTGAAATTCAAAGGATGCAGACGTATGTATGAGAGCACAAAGCACACACGACTACATTTTACTACTTGGACTCTATAAATTCATGTTTTCATCAACAAAACAACCTCATGCATGTATAAATGATGATGATGATGATGGGATACATGGTGGATGGATGAATGATGTTATCAGAGCCCGTGATACCGTTATGTCCTGGAGTGCATTGCATTCAGGGAGAGAGAGAGATACATTTTGGAAAAATTACACCTTGCTCAATAATGAATACATAAGCTCAGAAGGTAAAGTAAGTAAGTAAGTAAATGGACTTTAGTAAATTATACCCTTTCGACCTGGCATTTTTATTTATCAGGCCAGGCGGGATTAATTTCTTTTTTCTCTGTGTGGGTGCATCTAATTCGTGCCCATCGTTCATTTAAGACGTGTGCAACTTGTACAATGTGTGGAAAAGACGGGGAAGATTATGTAAAGTGTGTAATAAATTGTTGGATTTGGTTAGGGAAGAAATGAAAGCAATCAATTTAATAAGCGGGGGATGATTGTATCGAAAATGCGGGTGGGGTCATCATTTTTTTTCTTATGCCAGGAAAGTTATGTATTTAGTTACTTGGAGATGGAAGGTGGGCAGAAATTGTCTTCATTTCACACGTCAAGTCAAAAATATGTTGGTAATCATTCAGCTTGATTTTTATTTACTTTTTGAGGAAATCTCACGCTGCAAATGGAACCGGAACAGAAATACTTGTAAAAGGTGTTCTCTACAAATAAACTGAAAAATACGTTTGACCTAAATTTCTGATATGGAACAGGAAAAGGACCCCGTGAAATTTGAGACAATTTATTTTATTCTATTTCCTGTTTTAGCAGTCCCTTCATTACATCATCATCGTCAGGTTGATCTTAAGAAACTTCTTCTATACTTACATATACTTGGACATACGCACTCTAACCAGACCATCAAAGACACTTGATCTCAGACTTGTTCCATACATACATTTGCCTAAAAGCTTTTCTACACGTGGTCCTGGTTTGGATAAAGTAGCACGCAGACCGATTCACGTAACCGAGCTACATATACATACACACATAGATTTTTACTATCCGAGTAAATTGTCTCATCGCATCGCAGACATCTTTATAAAACACTAACTAACTACATACAATATTGAATATGTTTGGGTCTGCTGTACGTAGTGGTGGCGTGGTAAAAGAGTGTGATGTTTGCCAAGGAAAAAGGTAGTGCTCGGTATAAAAGCGACTCTAAATGTCCCGTTACTTGTTTTCTCCCATACACTGCAACACACTGCAATATTAGACGAATCCCATGTTAATGCACCTTGTGCATACTTTTACATATGCATCCATCCACTCACACGCTGCTATTCCTTTACCTCACAAACAATAACTTGCCTATCGACACATAACGGGCCTTTTTCTGCTTTTACAGCACTTTATGATGTGTGTGAATTGTTAAGTAAATCTTAGAATGTAAACCAACCCTCGTCTCCTCGGTCGGATGTCGGTGTTATTCCCACGTACCACTATCTATCTCTCCTCTTTTTTTATTTACCTGCAATCATCCCAACAAACAATCAACCAATTCCCTCAAGGCTTGTTAATATTCAAGGCGCAAATTAGTACAAAATTTATTTCAGGATATATGCACAAATTACCGTAAAATTGAAGGAAACTCATTACGTAAAAAACTCAGCATGGTTGAAAAAGAGGAGAAGACAACTATGATTTGCCATGTTATACACGAGACTAAAAAACTCTGCACGCTCAAAATTGCTTGATGACCTACATTCCCTTGTACACTTTACCCACTCACACACACACAAACACACACACATTCACATGCATACGTATATAAAGCCCAACATGAGATAGTCTCAGAGGAGTTTAGTTAACTCGGGTATTATGAGAATGGATAATATGGATTACCAGCCAGCCAGCCAGCCAACTATACGCTGTGTTTACGACAGTGATATGCACACACTGAATTAGCAGCATAAAAAAAGCTCGAGTGGGTGCAGTTCCACAAACAAGACTCGGCTTCGTTGCGAAATGTAATGAAATGAGCAAAACAAAGTATATTTAGCATTTTTGTCGTAATTTTGTGGAAATGGTTTCTCTAAATTCTAAATGTACTTATTTTCTTTAATCAATATTATATTTTACTCGTAATATGTAAACTAAACCTACCCTATTTGCATAATACGGTTACAATTTTGCATGGAAAATATGCATGGATCCACAAATGTATGGAGTATTTATTGCATAAACCTTTAAGCTGTAGAATTAAAGATATTATGTATGTACTTGTGGCATGATAATATTTAATAATAATTGATTTGATGCAGCTACTACTTTTTTTCTGTGAGACATTGTTTTATGTGCATTGTTGTAAAGTTGTTGGGGTTATTACGCTCATAAAGTTTGACAAGTCAATAGCAATAATAATAATAATACGGTCTTCGTGTCGTTGTCCGTATAATTCCTGCAACCATTATTATCCTGCCAAATGTGTAAGTAAAACAAACCGAGCAAATGCACCAATTCGTTTATTAAAAAAACAGAAATATTTGCTTGCATGAGATAAATCGCGATTTATGAGGATTTTAATACACGCAAAAAATTTCACAAGTCTGTGCATGCATACCGATTGTTACTTACTAACTAACTTGATCGCGGTTGTTGGCTTATCATTCAACGAAAAGTAGGCCATTATCTTTTTCACTTTTGCAAATATTTGGCAAATATAATAATAATCCTGCTTTGCTTGCTTGCTGGATATGGTTTTGCTCTCAAATCATGTAGAAAAAAGTAAAGCAAATATTGGAATTGACGGAAGAGGTGATAATAAACAAATTCCATTATAAATAAGTACATTCTATTGGATTGGAAGATTAACGGAACATTCAGATGATATTCTTTCTGAATGAAATGATAAATTTGGGTATGAATGGATTTTATGAATGGTATGAAATCAAGATTGCTTAAAATTCTTACCGTCTCTTGACATTCCTAAGCGAAGGCATTTTTGCAGCCGGCAGTACTGGCACCGATTCCTGTTGACCCTGTCAACCACGCAGTTTTTAGACCGGGGGCACTGGTAGTTGACCACGGAGGACTGACTCCTTCGAAAGAAACCTTTGCATCCTTCACAAGTTATGACGCCGTAGTGGACACCGCTCGACTTGTCCCCACAAACCTTGCACGGAATGATCTCGATCTGAGCTGTAATTCATAAAGAAGAATACAAAATTTAGTAAATTAGGTAACACTAATTCACTTCATAAAACAGGAGTCTTATGATGATTCCCATACCGAAATGAAACCCCGGAATGTAATCATAACCAAAATGGTGATAGTAATATGCGTCAAACTCCATCTCTCTATTTAAACTAATCGTTCTGCGAATATTATGCATATACTGGTCCCACCCAACTTTGTGTCGAGACCACTACCAGACCTTCACCCAGTTCCCAGATTGATTTACTTTTCGAAATTATTTACTTAATAATTTCGTTACTAGAGTTAGTCTTTGGTGTCACTTTACTTTCACTTTGTCGATCAGAGAGAAAGCGAGTGACTCTTTGGTCGAGGAGGACTCTGGGACGAGTAACCAAGCCAAGATCATGAGTTTTTTGGCCAGGGTCAATTTAGCCGTATTTAAAGTTTTAAAATACACAAGGAAATTGTTAGCCTCCAATTTCTCATTACTTTTACTTTCCCCCGATGCCAGATACATATGTCATTGTACCGAGAAACCAAAGCAATTAATTGAGAAGGTTGATAATTGCTTCAATTTTACCTCAAACTTAATTGTCCTGGGGGAATTAACAGTGCAGCTTTCGTGGGTACTTTTAATTTCTTCTTGCTCGATCAGATAAGATAACACAAATTGAGTGGGGATTACATTAAACTGAGCAAAAAGTCAAATTAAAGTATCCACATAGTTGGCCTCTTCTCCAACTAAACGATTTTGAAATTTGAGGCCACGTCTAATTGGAATTTTGCATAATATTCTGCAATCCTTTAAAAAATGCAAAAAAGGCTTTCTATCCACATATGATCTTCAAAACCAACCAACCATCCGAGCACTTTCTCTCTCTCTCTCTTTGAAGTTACAGGTAATTTTGCTAATACCAAAATAATTGAAACGTTGATCGGCTATTATTACATATTTTACATACTTGCTCCATGCACTCGGTTTATTCAGCCTAGATTTTTTCGGGCTAAAAATCGAACATGTGCAGGTAGGTAGGATTCATACATGCACAGAGAGAAATCGGTGGGGATCAACTTTAACCTTTGTAAATTACGCCGAGAGAGAGAACACGTTCATCGTTCAACCCAGAGCAACCTGTCCGTTCGGAGAGAGAGAGAGAGAACTGCATATGTAGATACGTAAGCCGGCAGAAGATTCCCCGGAGCAAGGGAAAGTTTAAAACGGGCGAAACTCCGAACCGGGTAGACACGAGAAAGCGAGAGCGAATGGAAAGTGAATCAATTAAATGTGTCCTTGAGTGGTTGCTTCCCTCCTGCCAGGATTGACACGAAATGAGCATCAAAACTCCCCTTCTATTCAAACACACTACCAATTAAGTATTTTCTAAACACAAAAGTTTTCTCCAATTGCACTATCATTTGATCCTATCGGAAACTTACTTTTTAAACCAATAATTTGCATACTCTGGACTTGACAAATTTTAATATTATATGCCCAATTTTCGCAATCGTCTCTTGTTAACAGATTTGCATCACTGTAAATATTGGGATTGACCTTTTTTCCTACTTTGGGCTGGACTTGACCAAGAAAAACAATGCATTTAGGACGAAAACCAGTACCCATTAGTATGGAAATTCCACACGTGGTGTAATTAAGAAATCCAATAACAATGACCTCAAAAATCTGTAAAGTCCGTTAACTTGTCCAGCACAAATAGCAAATTTTTAGTTAGGCCTACATTTAAAAAAGTAGACCGTTGTACTACGCAACTAAAATTAACCACACCACGAAAACACAGAAACCTTATCAGTTTTTACCCAAACAAATAGTTTGTTTGGTTATTACAAATCATTCCCATTTCACAAATTGAAACAAATTTACACAATAATTGAAACCAAACTTGTACAAAGTTCTCATTAGTTTGTTTTGCAGTTATTGCTGAAAAGTTGAAAGTCCGTTGGGGTGACGCATTACTCATCATTACGAACAAAATGGCCATAGTGCAATGTCATGTCGATCAACTTTATGAATCGACTAGCAGCTTCTAGGAAAATGTGTAATTCAATTGCATTTCAGTCTAATAAATTAAAGCTAACGACGCAAAATACACGCATGCATTGCAATAATGTTGCCTCATCAAAAAAGCTACTAAAACAGCTCTAAATAGGTTTCAACGAAACAAACCAAATGACCAAGGTGAAGTTGCAGTCGTCCAAGTTTATAAACGTAAACTGCTATTCGACAACAAGATACGAATCCCCACGTGAAAAAATGATCAAGTGAAGCACAAATTTCAATTTTAGTTAAATTCGTTTACAAATACAAAAAACTAATTAATTACTTAATTCCTCCCTTAAACGGTTCGCATTTACACCTCCTCCCACGCAACCCAGTCGTTTAACAGCTCTTTAGCTTTGATTCGCCAACTGTATGCATCCGCTCCCCAATGAGAAAGCAAAAATCTTAGTATTCTCAGATATCCAACATTGCTAAAATTATACAGAATTGTCAAAAACTCTTCATGCATGCACGAAACGTAATTGTTCGTTTGGATTACAACAAGTACCTTCATCATCCATCCACCAACGAAGCAAAGTCTGCAGGTAAGAAGCAAGCAACGGTACAATTTGCGCAGACATTTTTTTTGCCACGGTGCATACCCTTTATCGTCAACCATTTTGATTCTGATGTAATTTATGGCTTTGAAATTACATTATTTTTGTGTTACACAACATCCTCAAGTGCGTGTTTTTTCACAACTTATTTTCTTGAAGCCTGAAGTTCAAGTCTCACACACTTGCTCAATACCACGTTAGATTGCACGCCTGATTTGTGAAATAATATGCAGATATTTCACTGATATCAATTTTAATTTAATTATTTAATGAGAAATACGTAACCAGAAAATCAACCACTGCCAGACACTCAGCATCTGCATTGGTAGGTGAGTCGTATAATAAATGTGGTGAGACGCGCGAGACCCTTCAAGGCTCAAGGTAAAGGGATTGCTCAACTCTTGGCAGCCTTTTTCTCAGCAATCTTCTCTCTGCAGCAATAAACGGGTTTGTGACTGCTGCTGATAGGAAAAATTGTATGACTGACTCTTGCTTATTTCATTTCGATGATGTGGAAATGATATCGAACACGCATTTTTATAAAAATGGTGACCAATAATGAGAGGTGATGTAAGGGATGAGGTTGATAGTGCTGGTGGCTGATTCACGTTTAATATGATTCACCTTAATTGTTAATTGCTCATTTAACTTGTGGTGATTGATAATAATAGTAATAATAATAAGGGAGCTAAGGGTTAAGGTACGGCTTGAAGGTGACCAACTTTTCCACTAAAAGAATTATTGCCAATCTAACCAGCATTTTTATTTTTTTTACGTTTGATAAAAAAGCCGCATGTTAAGAACCTCAGCAGAAACATTTCATCAATTCTCCTTAAAAAATTCAGACAATCAAAGAGTATTCGAACACATGGAATCGTTTGTCTCAACAAGTTCCAGATTGGGCAAGTAAATAGTTGGTTACTAAAATATGCATGAGAATGAGACCCACATCTGTCACCCACCGAATTACGGTGTTTACGTATGCTATCTATCTGTCTTCATTGCTGCGAACGAGTTGCAAGCAAACCCAAAAGAAGAACGATCAACAACCTCTCACCTACTTTTACACCTGGATATCAATACATTTCCATGAATTACATAATGCACTGCCATTTAATTGCTGACGGGAGTGCATTCAAATATTTATTTAATTGTCTCGGAACAATACCAAAAATAATAAAATACATATTGTCTCGGAAGAGGTGAACTAAGGAAATTGAATTGTACATTCACAAATATTCAAATTCCTCCGCATTGTGCATAGGCACCTTTTTATTCCACAATTCCAGCCGGAGATGAGCATCCCATTATTCGTCGCGCCCCACTTATCATCCTCAAAACAATGACAAACTTATTTTCTGACGCATAAAAACAAAAATCTGCACATTTCCATGTAAATTCTACTCTCGTCCTTCAAGGGATGTTGACCCGACTCCGCCTGTTTATGCGCAATTCTGTGAGTATATACGACGTATGTATGCATGAGGTCTTTAACTGCTAACTATTACAGTTAGTTAACAAACTAACTAATGCAATAACTAACTCTGGTTGGCATGCTCAATGCCACTTGCAAATCAAACCACATCATATGCACACACGCCACGAGTAGTAGTGCAGCTAGCAGGCTGAAATTTATTGTAACTCTGCTGCAGAAGGCAAACTTTCCTTTCTGAATTTATTTTATGAATCACATCACCAAGTTGGAAAAATCCCAAGCATTCTCGATTCTATGAAATATTATTATTAATGCTGTACAAATGTATGTACATGAGTTGCACCAATATGTATAGCATCACCACCACCACCAAATAGTGCTCGTATACGTGCCTGCCTGCGTAATAAAGCGTGCACATTCACCTCGAGTTGCGAAAAAGTTTGCAACAACAAAAATAATTAAACAGATACATATCGTTGGTTCGTTCGTGGTACAAGAGAACCGTTTTGATTTCATCTTTGTGATTGATACAATTATGTAATGTAAGTGATTGCTGGCTGATTGTGGATGTCTGTGTGATGAGAGAGAGACTCACATTCAAGGTACAAAGGTCATTATTCAAGTTTAAATATTTCTTAACAATAAGTTGCAGGAGGATTTAATTTTTACTGAACTATTTACCATTAATTGATGCCGAAATTATGAGAAACATTAAGTGAAAGAATTAATCATGCGTAGAATACCGCAAATAAAACATTTGTGGATTCGTGTCGACATTTTTATTGCGATAATGTTGTTTTTTTTTGTATATAGGCATTTTATAATTTTGTCAAGTATTTCTTAAAACATAGTGCTAAATGAAACGTTACAAAAATGGCTTCTTTTTTTACACACTTTGTTCTTATGAAATTCTGAAATCACTTAAAAATAATAAGTGATATTCCCTTAAAAACTA